AGGGCCAAGGACAATTTTTAAATTAGAGGACTGCCATGATCAACTTTGTTGTTTGAAAAAGAAATATCTCTAATGGCTAGTTTGGTAAAGGAAGCAAAACTGGAGAGAGTGGTAATAGGAGATTGTCACAGTAATCAGACAAGGACAATAAGGAGGCGCTGGTGTAGTTCACTGCTTCTGACCTTTACTACATTTCATCTCTGAAAGTCTGGGTCACCTACTGGAAAGTAAAGGTTTATTATAAAGCATATTTCTGTCATCTTGTAAGTAAAATATGGTTTTGACTTCTCACATTAACTGGTTCAAAATAGGGCTGGGTTGGCTCTGGGAGGGAGTCCTCACCATCACAAGAAGAGTTAAGTAAATGCTAAGCCCTTGGATCCTTGGTAATATTAAGAACACAGAGGAATGGGAAGATGTGACTGAAAACTGAATTTACGGTGGATTCTAAGAATGGACCGTTGATTTGCTTTATTGAGATATAATTTATATACCATAAAATTTACCAATTTAGAGTTTACAATTTAGTGAGTTTTAGTATATGTTTCTCTCTCATCTCATTGATGTTTCTATCTCTCTATCCCTCTCCTTTCCTCTCTCTCTCAAATAAAAAAAAACCTTATTTAAAAAAAAAAAAAAAAACATTTAAAAAAAATAATTTTAAAGCCATCACCAGTATCTAATTCTAGAACATTCCATCACCGTAAACCAAAACTCACCAACAATCACTGCATTTTTATTCTCCCCTTCCCCCAACCCCTGACAACCACTAATCTACTCTGTCTCTGTATTTATATATTTTTGAACATTTCATGTAAGTGGAATCATATGATAAGCGGTCTTTTATGACTTGCTTCTCTTACTTGCATAATATTTATAAGGTTCATACTGGTTGTAGCATATATTAGTACTTCATTTCTTTTATGGCTGGATAATACTCAGTTGTATGACTAGACTACAATTTGTTTATACATTCATCAGTTGATGGACATTTGGGTTGTTTCCACTTTGGGGCTGTTATATGAATCTTGTTGCTATGAACATTTGTGTATAAATTTTAGATTTCCACTAGCAATGTATGAGAGTTTGAGTTTCTCCATATTTTCACCAACACTTGTCCATCTTTTTTATTATAATTAGTTTAGTAGATGTGAAGTGGGGTTCTCTTGGTTTTGGTTTGCATTAACCTAATGAGTAATGATGAGCATCTTTTCCCGTGTGCTTATTGGCCATTTGTATATCTCCTTCGGAGAAATGTCTGTGTAAATCCTTTACCCACTTTTAATGGGTTATTATCTTTTTAAAAATATATATATCTGTATTGATTTCAGAAAGAGGAAAGGAGAGGGGGAGAGAGAGATAGAAACATCAATGATGAGAGAGTCATTGATCGGCTGCCTCCTGCAAGCCCCCGACTGGGGATCGAGCCCGCAACCCGGGCATGTGCCCTGACCAGGAATCAAACCCCAATCACCTGGATCCTAGGTTGATGCTCAACTGGTGAGCCATGCCCGGCCGGACTTCATTATCTTTTTATTGTAAGAGTTATTTGTAAATTCTGAATAGAAGTCTCTTCAGATATATAATTTGCACATTTTTTCTCCCATTCTATGGGTTGTCTTTTCATTTTCTTGAAATTGTCCTTTGACACAGAAAAGTTTTTAATTTGATGAATTCTAATTTAATTTTTGTTTTGTTGCTTTTGCTTTAGATGTCATATCTAAGAAACCATTGCCTAACCTAAGGTTAAAAAGATTTATGTTTTTTTCTAAGAATTTTCTATTTTTGGCTCTTAGATTTAGATCTTTGATACATTTTGAGTTAATTTTTATGTATAGTATGAGGTAGAAGTTAGCTTTATTCTTTTGCATATGGATATCCAGTTGTCCCAGCACCATTTGGTGAAAAGACTATTCCCTGATCAGGCGTGGCTCAGCGGTTGAGCGTCGACCTAGGATCCAGGCAATTGGGGTTTGATTCGCGGTCAGGTCACATGCCCGGGTTGCGGGCTCGATCCCCAGTCGGGGGCTTGCAGGAGGCAGCCGATCAATGATTCTCTCATCACTGGTGTTTCTCTCTCTCTCTCCCCCTCTCCTTTCCTCTCTCTGAAATCAATTAAGATATAATTTTTTTAAAAAGTCATTTTGGAGCAAAAAGGGTAGGTAATTACTGTTTTTTAAAAATCAATTAAAATTATACCTAATTTTTGTCCGATCGGCAAAATATTTATACTTTTGGTATGCCACAGAATTTTAGTAATTAGTTTATGTGTGCCATGAGATGAAAAAGGTTGAAAATTGCTGGTGTATAGTCCTTTTTATATGTTGCTGGATTCAGTTTGCTAGTATTTCATGAGGATTTTTGTGTCTATATTCATACGAGATATTAGTCTCTAGTTTTCTTGTAATGTCTTTGTCTGTTTTTTGGTGTGTAGGTGATATTGACCACATAGATTTCAAGTTAGGAAGTGTTCTTCCCCTTATGTTTTTTGGAAGAGTTTGTGAAGGATTGGTTTTAATACTTCTTTAAATGTTTGGTAGAATTCATTAATGTAGCCATATGGACCTGGGCTTTTCTTTTTGGGAATTTTTAAAATTGCTAATTCAGTGTCGTTTCGTGTTCTAGGCACCTATACAAATTTACCATTTTTCTCTTTCAGCCCTATTTATCCCTTTAATTGTTCAAGAAATATTTATTGAGCATCTGTAATATCCTGACCCTGTTCTTGACATAAGATACAACAATAAATAAAACAAACACCCTGGCCTTTTTAGAGCTTAGCATTCTCATGTTCTTCCTCTTATTCTCATGCTGTCTATATATACATATTTTTGTTTATATTTATATGTAACATAGCTCTAATCCTTGTTTAAAAAACTGCTACATGCCATTGGTGGAGAAATGGGGCCTTTAGGGTTGCTATATACAGGGTGGGGCAAAGATAGGTTTATAGTTGTTTGTATGGAAAATAATACAATGATTAATAAATAATAATATTAGAATAAACTCTGTTTTGCATACTCACAACTCTAAACCTATTTTTGCCCCACCCTGTATATTGTCATAGCTTGTATAAACTCTTAGGTATTCTTGAGCAGAGCTGTATGCAAGGGAAGTGGAATATATTGTTATTACAATCACAGTTTATATTGGTGCTTACCCTTGGCATTGCTACAAGGACATATTTTTAATTAAATAAACCACCATTTTAGTTCATTATCATCCTCAGGACCATCGGTGCCTTCTATTCTGTCTGATCATCAGCAGGAACATGTGTTAGTTTCCTAAGACTACTATAACAAACTATCACAAGCTGGGTCACTCAAAACAAGAGGAATTTATTCTCACAATTCTGAAGGCTAGGAGTCTGAAATCAAGGTGTTAGCAAGGCCATGCTACCTCTGGGACTCGGTAAAATCCTCTTTATCTCTACCTAGCATCTTGTGGTGGCCATCAATCCTTGGAGTTCTTGGCTTGCAGCTGCACATTACTCCAATCTCTGCCTCTGTCATCACATGGTGTTCTCCCTGTCCTCATGTATCGTTTTGCTTTACAAGGACACCAGTCATACTGGATTGGGGCCCACCCTAATGACCTCATCTTAATTTGATTACCTCTAAAAGGGCTCTATTTCCAAATAAGGTCACATTCACAGGTACCAGGGGTTAGGATTTCAACATATTTTGGGAGAGGGACATAATTCAACCCGTAATTGAGCACTGTGCTCTAATTGTGAGATATTAGGTTGAGGCCTCAGTAACATTACTGATTTTAATACCTTTTATAAAAGTTTCATGGTATATTTCTCTGTCTTTAAAAAAATAATGCTCCCTGTCCCACATAACGTAAAGCCCTGAGGTGTCATTGATCACACACGTGTGTTTTATCTTCTTCTAAGCATAAATACTGGAAAGGAAGCAGAGATGATTGGTTCTATAACTAGGGCTTTCAGAGATGTTCAGAAGTAACATCTCTCAAATCACAGTTTATGTGCCCCCCAACCCCCCAAAAATAAAACAGAATTGCATAAGAGTGTGTGGCCCTAGCTGGTTTCGCTGAGTGGTTAGAGCATCAGCCCACAGACTGAAGGGTTCCGGGTTCAATTCCGGCTAAGGGCATGTACCTCGGTTACAGACTCATTCCCCGGCCCCAGCTGATGCATAAGCAGGAGCCACCAATTGATGTGTCTCTTTCACATCTCTCTCTCTCTCTCTCTCTCTCTGTCTGTCTCTGTCTCTCTCTCTCTCACACACACATACACACACACACACTCCCCCTCTCTCTCTCTTCTCTCTGAAAAGTCTTGGGTGAGGGTTTTTAAAAAAAGAGTGTGTGAATGATATTTGGAACAGCTGTTGATTGCTTATATATAACATAATCACAGGAATCTTATACAAAGACTGGTTTAAGCAGTGCCAGCATCCATCTCTGTAGTGTAATAAAAGAACATGGTTTATGAAATTGTATTGGTATGTGTTAGACTGAAAATAACAAGTGCTGTGCAGAATACAAGGTAACTTTGGAACAAAGTTAAAAGAACAGAATAGTATCTTCTGAGCATTAGCCTAGTGGTCTCATTGCTAGTTTCTATTGTTTTTAATAATGCTCCCAAGTATTTTTTTATTCATAAATGCTATTATCTCTACTCTGTCACAACACAATTATTTTAGTGTCTGTGACTCCTTAGTATTCTAGTGTGGTAAATACAGCACTTTTGGGGTCAGGAGTGGAGAATCTGGATTCCTTTTTGAAAACAAAGCCCATTACCCTGTTCCTCTGGCACAGAAATACTGAGACATTGTTCACGTGTATTGCTCCCACCAAATGTTGAGCCCTGCCTTTAATATTTAACTATCTGTTCGTTGGTTGTTTTCTTCTATCATTTTGAATTAAGGCATTGACTTCTTACATTATTATGGCCATCTTCTTTTTGCTTAAGTTTCAATTATGTAACAATAATGAAAACTTTATTCTTTTTTCTTTCTTTTAAAACAATTCAGGGCAATCTAGAGCAGCTATGATACCTCCCAAGCATCCACGGCAGCCTAAGGGGGCTTTGGATGATGCCATTGCCTTTGGTGGGAAAACAGACGAAGAAGCACCTAATGCTTCCCAAACTAAACCACCCCCACTGCCAAAGAAAATGATCATGCGAGCCAACACAGAACCAATCTCCAAAGACCTCCAAAAATCCATGGAAACTAATCTTTGTGTCATGGCTAATCCCACCTATGATATTGATCCCAACTGGGATGCCAGCAGTGCTGGCTCTTCTATCAGTTATGAACTCAAGGGACTGGACATTGAGTCTTATGACTCCTTGGAGAGGCCTTTGCATAAGGAGCAACCTATCCCCTCAGCAGCAAACAGCACCTCCAACTTAACCACTCTCAGTATTAAGGATAGATTTTCCAACAGCATGGAGTCCCTGTCCAGTCGACGTGGTCCCTCTTGGAGACAGGGCCAAGGCATCCGGAAGCCACAGAGACATGCACTTTATCGAGGACTTGAGAATTGGGAAGAAGTGGTGGGAAAAATCCGAAGCCTTCATACAGATGCCTTAAAGAAATTGGCTATTAAATGTGAAGACCTCTTCATGGCTGGGCAGAAAGACAAACTCCGTTTTGGCGTGGACAGCTGGTCAGACTTCAGGCTAACCAGTGACAAGCCATGTTGTGAGGCCGGTGATGCAGTTTACTACACAGCTTCATATGCAAAAGATCCACTTAATAGTTATGCAGTCAAGGTAAGAAAATAAGTCTGATTTTAATCTTATCCAACACACTGTTGTTGGGATGGGCTTATTTTTCTCTCTTCATTCCTCCATTCAGCAAAAAGGTTTTGCGCATCTACCTCACACCAGATATTGTAAGAAGCTGGGGCCTTATTTCTCTAGAGAAGTAAACAGACATGTAGAGGCAGATTTACAACACAGGATACTGAGTGCTAAGATGAAGGTAAACACCATTCTTGGGAGTTTAGAAGAACCTTAACCCAGACTCTAAAGGTCAAAGAAGTCTTGAAGTAGGTAATCCTTGAACTGTGATTGTTTGCAAAGGCTGCTGTACAAATGAGGTCTGTTGTTATGTCCCTTCCACTTCATGTTTCTTTATTCTCTAGCAAATAAGAGACCCTTGTGTTTCCCTGCTCTGTAACTCCTCTGCTTCTTCGAGAAATATTTTTATAGAGGAGGATAACCAATATTTGTTAATGTGCCAGGAACTGTGTTAGTGTTATAATCTAATCTTCACATCAACTTTATGAGGTTAGGGTCTTTTTTTCCATTTTACAGATGAGAATAAAGCTCAGAAAGATGAGCTAATTTGCTTAGGGTCACACAACTAGAAATTACTAGAGCTGGTATTTAAATACCAATCTCTCTGACTCCACAGCCTACACTTTTTCCATTATGTCACCTAATAATTTCTCAAATGTATATTCCCCATTCCAGACAACTCACTTTTTTAAAGGGCTAAAACTCAACATCAAGAATTTTGGTCCAATTGCATTCACTGTAACAGTAAGTTGTAGGTCTTATCAATGTAATAAATTAAGCATGGTCTTTGCTGTCCAAAAGATCTGGATTCAGATCCTGGCTCTGCCACTTAGTAGTTTTACCACAAGTTGCTACTCTGAGTCTCAACTTCCTTACCTTTAAAAAGGGATAATAATGGTATCTATAGTACTGTTTGGCTAAAAGAGAACAAAATGTCCAAGTACTCATTTCTTTCACTGTCCCTTAGTTTCTTCCAGTGTTACTTTAAGAGAATAACAGTAGTGAGCCTCAGTTTCCTCCTCTTTCAGATGTTTACAGTGATAATACATCTACTTTGTGGGACTGAGGTTAGTGGCAAGTTAGATAATGCATATGAGAGTTTTTAAAAACACAAAGCTCTATATAAACTCAGGGTAAGGTTCTCCATTCCTGCAGTTCCTTTTTAATAATTCTATACACTGGATCAAAACCAATTAGCATACCCAAATGACTTCTGTGTGTTAATTTGGCTTAGAAAGACCAAATGGTGTCTTAATAAAATTAATGAATAAGTTAAACTACTGGCCTTACCTGTCTGTCAGGACAGAATGTACGCCTGGACCAGACCTTTGGCTAGCTGCCATCTGCAGTTGCAGTACCTACACCATAGAATTGTCTAGTGCCACTGGCAGTGTAACTCTGTGCCCCAGCCCACACTGTTTAAACTGAGGGGTAAACTACAGAGAGAGAATCTGCATTCAAGTTAATATATTACTGTTGAATCTGAAAAGGCATTTTGAGATTCTGTGTAGTACTCAAGAGCTGTAATATCAATTAGGTTATGGGGCCTCACCTATCTTGGGCCTTTATTGCTACAATACAAGATCGTCAATGCAAGATGACTACCTGTTTCAGAAAGGAGCATGTGTTATTTTAAAACAATTGAGAATTAGGGCTTGACTAACTTTATGTATTATTGCCATTCAGTCTTGTCTCTTTCCCAAATCAAAAATCTGGTATTAATTTCTTTGCTTATAATGATACAAAAGCAATCTCCAAAGAGGTGGCAAGTGGTGAATATATGGGGAGTTGTTGGCATATTTGGGAAAGGATGTCTTACAGTAAATGGTGAATATAAATGTCTCTTTGAAGACCATTTGGGCTTTTCTAAAAGTACCCAATAAATTGTACAACCTTAGAGAAACTACTAGGACACAGTGAGCCCTTCTTTTGCAGAGATAAGCAAAATAGAACTAGCGGGTGGCTCACATAAGCAACTTTTTACTGTTTGTCTTCTTAAGATATTCCTTCCCATACTAATGGATTCTAGAATAGGCTAACAGGTATGGCTATCTTTCTTTTTGAAATTTATTTTTCTGTTACAGTTAATACAATATTTTATTAGTTTCAGGTGTACAACATAATGATTAGACTTTTATATAACTTATAAAGTGATTTTCACTCACTCCTGAGGGTCACACATTGCAAATTGTGGTCCTGCCTGGTGTTACTTACACCAATAGAACGAGACAGTATTTGATAAAGCAAGTCAGAAACTTTATTCTTTGGCCAAGGAATGGAGAAGGATGAACTAAGATCTCTCCTCCCCAAATTGGGGGAATTAGGAAAGTATTAGCGGTTGGGGGTGGGAGAGATAGGTGGGTTTACGGGTAGAGAGTTTTCAGATTTACAAGGCAGCATGTGCAGTTCTTAAATGTGCTTGGAACATACCTAGCTGTACATTTTAAAGCATGCTAATTTTAATGTTAAATCTTCACCCATGGACATGATTTTTAGTATGCTAATGAAGAAAAGTTTGTCCAAAGTTCTCTTGGGAATGGGTTTCAGGTGCCATCTTGGATCTTTCCTGCATAAAGGGGTTTCTCAGTGGAGGTCCTTGGGTTTCTTAACTGATTTCTGCGAGCAGGCTTATCTAGCCTTGGAATTGGTACCTTTTTTTGAGGAGCTCAGCCTGCCATTGTCAAGAGATATGTTGATGAGAATAAGTTACTATAAGTTTAAAGATTAACTAAACGTGGTGGCACAACCGGGTGACATGATCTCCCCAATAAGTCTAGTACTATTATTGACTATATTCCCTATGCTGTATTTTACATCTCTGTGACTATTTTTATAATTGGCAATTTTAGTCCTTTTCACCACTTTTGCCCATTCCCCCAACCACCCTCCCATGTGGCAACCATCAGTTTGTTCTCCTGTGAGTTTGTTTCTGTTTCGTTTGTTCTTATATTTTGTTTTTTTTTGATTCTACATATAAGCAAAACCATATGGTATTTGTCTTTGTCTGCTATATTTCACTTAGCAGAATACCCTCTAGGTCCATGCATGTCATCATTCTTTTTTATGGCTGAGTAATAATCCATTGTATATATGTACCACTTCTTTATCCATTTGTCTATCAGTGGGCACTTGGGTTGCATCTGTATCCTGGCTACTGTAAATAATACTGCAGTGAGCATAGGGATGCATATGTCTTTTTTTTTTAACTTAATTTTTGTTTAAAATATTATAGATGTCCCTTTTTCTCCCCAGTGATCCGTTCCACCCCGTCCCATCCCCCTCCCCAGTCCCTCTCCACACCATTGTCCGTGTCCTTGGGTTGTGCATATAT